TGGAGTCTGTTGCTGGCAGGAAACCGAGTGTCGTTGAAATAACCGAGTTAACTCAGAAAGCCATCGACAGATACAAGGCTTTGCCCAAACCTGCACAAGATGAGCTCAAAAAGCAGTTCCCTGCTTTGGTTCACGGATTCACAAGTAGGTTTCGGATGTCATCTGTTCGGGTGATTGCTGAAGGGAACTGCTTGCAGGCAAGAAATTCCATAAGATGGTGGCGAGAATGTTGATCAACAACTAGCGGACGATTTCTACTATGAGAAGCAAGCAAGGCTGCTGTCCGATTTTTTGGAGAGCCGGTTACAGTTTTCAAGTCTGCAGTTCATCTACAGCAGTTCAAGTATCTTTTGTTAATGAATCGTTTTTTAAAACGATTTCAAAGGAAGTTCGTTGTTCTTATGGTTAAGATTCAGTGGCCAGAAGCACAGTACTTGCCCCAGGCCAGACAGACCTTTTGCCAAAGTCGCTTAACTATACCAAGTTTGCATAGGAAATCAAAACACCCAAATGAATGCTCATAAGGATAGTCCTCTAAGCGTGCAAACCAGTCTGTGTATCAGTGGTAAGATCAAAGCCTCCAGCATGCAGAGGTGGTGTAGTGGCAACTAGCGCCTACTCTGTACACGGTCCGTAGGTCAAACTCTGAATCGGATCTCGCCCAGCCAAGAAAAGCCTTCTATCCCTCGCCTATCTTCCCTCATACCGTAATCGCCAAACTGCGTTTGGCAACAGCAGGATCTGAAGTTTCTGAAAAACATCATTTTGGATTGCGCCATGCACCCAAGCTCCATTTTGAAAGGTTCTTGTATGCAAACGCAACGCGTGTGCTACCACTTGCGGATGCTGGCCAGTCTGTAAAAAGAGTGGGTCTAACATTTGCTTGAGGATGCGCCACATGATTGATTTCTTTCCAGTGCGCTCTAACTTTGACTTCATGTTTCCGATAGGCTCGATGGTTCCGTCCTCATTTTGATTTGCTAAATGAGGTTATAGTCAGTGCCCTCAGCCTAACTTTCTGACGATTCTCGTCCGAATTTGAGATTGATTTCCTGCACGAGTGATACATGGAGTTTGTCAATTTTTTATGTTTGGAGAGGTACAGAGTTTGTCATTTTTTTAATGTTTGGGAAGTTCATATGTATGGAGGTAAAAGATGGATTGTTTGGGAGTATGTTTCGTAGGCTACTCACTCGTCCAATCGTAAAAATGGCGTCTGGATTCGTGCATAAAAAGTTTGCTCCACGGAATAGCTGTCTAGTGTATAAGCATCGGAACGCTTCTGTATGTACACCTGGTAACGATTTAGGAACTTTCGCATGTGGGACGCGCATATTTCGGTGCAGACCTAACTTTCACGTTAATACGGAATACGTGACTAATTCTCAGCACTAACTGTGCTCTGTCGAGGCGAGCGATAGTATGGACGCTTAGAGAACGGTGCCGAACTGTAATTTTGAAGAGGAAAGAGCTCTAAGGCCGAGCTTTTGAGAATGTAGAGATTTTGGCAATAATGTGGCGATGGTGATATCCAGTTAGTGGTTTAGTTTGCTGACTGCTGCTTGCCTTGTATGAGCCTGCTGTTTAGACGAGAGAGTGCAGATGAAAGCATCAAATTGAGACTGTTCAAAGCACCGTCAAACAGTCGGCTGGCGGGGGGGGGGGGGGAGGAGGAGGGGAGGAAGCAGCTATAATATATATTTCCGTTGGGACGACACATGAGTCAAAGGTTGAAGGCCACATTGGGGAACGATGTTTCGCATCGAAAGAGTTCGTACCTTGGATAGCATTTTTCCTTCAATGTCCATATTTGGTTGAAGAATTTCTCCTAGATTTCAATAAAAAAATGGAACAACAGCGATCCTTTGGGACCAGAGAATGCCGCTAGCCTTGAAAGCTCTCAGCGATCACAGACTTATTGGTCTATAGCTGGGTGACGTAGATGATAACGCAAGGATAGACAATAGATGTTAGTCTGTGATTAGGACATTCAGTGGGGTTTCACCAATTAGGGAGGGCATTGTGGAGTTAGTCTGCTATATGGCAATTTGGCCAGGAAGGTCCTCGCTATCGCTTTATTGCCTACTTTGTCTGCTTGGTTTTTTTGTAAGCATCGTGTTCCTTGCCCCTTTATATTTATGAGTCGTTATTGAAAGAGTGTATGTTACCTAGCGGACAGTAGGACTAGCTGGAAAAGGGTGTGGAAATCCCGGAGAAAGCGAAGAAAATGTCTGCGGAAACCTTTGGGGCTTCCCCTTACTCGCAAAGGCTTAGTCCTGAACATTACCCAGGGAATATGCTTCTGCCCGTGGTTTTGGACACGTTAGCGCTAGAGCGGCAGTGTACGTGAGGAGGGAGGGGGCAATAACATCGCGGTTAGATTTACAAAAAACGCTTTTAGTTCCACTGAGATCTGGAGAGGTGGGATCGGTATGCGGAAAAGAATTTTTTACATAGTGCCCTTCCCCCGGCCGCTTTGCCGCGCCTGAAACGCGTACTACTTCCAGGGCTCCCTCTAACCTGGGACAGGTCTCAATCATGAATAGGGTATCGTGTTTATAAGTGTTGATCTGCATTCGTGGGTAATTATAATTGCCAGTTATACCGCATACATTTCGTCGGCTTGTCAGTGTTATGGCACAGTTTGTGATAAGATGTCAAAATCGGAATGAAGAGTGCGTCTTTGTGCTAACACACAATTTTCACTTCAAACAAAGAAGAAAGCAAGTAGACGATGGAGAGTAGTACTGTGCTCCAAGTGACAACGGTGCTAAAAATTTGGTGCAGAACCTCATTAGTTGGGGATGTGGATGTTGGCAAGCTTGTTCGGCAACTCCTTGTCTGAAAGCAAGACTTCTGAACGTGCTTTATTTGCTTTATTCAATATTTTGAGAAGAGTTCAGCTGCTGAAAGTAAGCGCAGCGCGTGTACGACAGAATGCGCTGGTAATCAGTTCCAATCATCCGATCGCGTCAAATCGCTCTCGTTCGCCAGGTTTTTTCGCAGCAGGGACCAGGACCATTGCGGGATGTTTAAATAGTTACAAGCATGGACGGAGAAGGGCAATATACGAACTGTCACACTCGAGTATTGAATGCAGTCACAGGACACCTCAACAACCTCAGATGGGGTCGTGTCAAGAACTGTTCTGTGAGTCGTATAGGGTAGCCCACGAATATCACAGATGCTCCACTGTCGCAGCTCGAAAGTGCGCGACAATCGCGCCAAAGCCTTACAAAGTGATCTGAGGAACTTATGGACGAGATACCTCACCAGTGACATGCATCGTGGATCACGACGTAGCGGCAATTCAAATACGCGAAGGTTAACGGAGCTATGTGAGCGTATTCTTCAAAAGCTTCATCGGTGGTTACTTGCTTTTTACATTTTCAGTCAACATGGCCCCGCACCTTGTTCCTTTATATGGCTCGGAAGAACGCACTCTTGTGCCAGCGTTTGGTACTGTGAGTATTTGGTATAAATAGACCGCAGTTACCCCACGAGTTGGTGCGACTTAGGGCTGGTGCCGGACTTGTGAGCAACTGCTAGCGCATCGGGTGAATTACTCCATAGGTCGCTAGTAAGAGGTGGCATAGTCTCACATCTGCCCAGGCATTGAGGACCTACTCTCACACATTTTGTGGCTTGCGGACGTACGAAGCTTACTTTTAGCATATACTCAGTGAAGAGGTGCCGCGCGGTCGGCGTGCGCACGATCGCGCAATGGTTCAGTTTGTGCAAGTATTTGGTAGTCAAACTTCACGTGGCGCACCTTGTTCCTTTATGACCCAAAAGACTCACTCTTGAGCAAGGCGCTGAGAGTTGGGAACTCCTTTTGGATATCAGCTTTGGCAGCATCGGGCAGAGCGTCGTATTTGCTAATAATTGCTTGAGTTTTTGCCTTCAGTTGAGCTGCGGTAGGCTTGTGACCTGCGAGGGCATCTGAGAACATTTTACGAGCGTCGCTGTAGAGCTAAAAGCAGAGGTAATGCGGATAGGCGTGATTATAAAAATAGAATAGCTTACGTTCTCGACGAAGCTACGAGCTGCTGGTGTTAGGGCATCAATTTTCTTCTTACCCATTTCATAAAACTTTTCAAGTTCGGCACCAAGTTTGGGTGATTTCGCTTTAACAGCGGCTATGGCCTAAAACAGGCATTGTTAATCCCACAGGTGAAATCCAACTAGTTCACTGAAAATGGACTAATCCTTTAAAGCACATAAACGCTCGCTGAATCTTACCAGGGAAGGTTATCAGGCCATTCCAAGTATTTGCAGTAAGATTTACACCGCTGCATTTGTCTTGAAACACTGATCTTTGATCTCATTGTCAAATCTACCTTCCCAATCTGATTATCAATTTTATTCATGGCGTTGTAAACAAGATTATATGTTCAGGAAAACATGATGGTATACCGTAACGCAGCATAGCAGCGTTCTGAACGCTGCGCGCGCAGGCAAAGGGAGGTAATCCCCACATGGCGCCTCATCCTACGCGAGCCATTCCGACATGCGTGCCATCCTCCACCTCCTACATAACGGCGCTTAGTATAGTTGGCGAGTTTGCTCGACGCATTTTCTCCTCGTTGAGAGAGCGCAGAGAAAACGAGAAGTGGGAGGCGAGCACGCATGGAAAATATAATAGATGACACGTGACATTGCGCGCCCCAGTGCCATGTCCCAATGTCGGGAATATTACGGTATACCACCCTATGTCTCTGAACTATAATCTTCTGTGGTAAAGCGAGAAAGCGCAGCGGTTGTGGTGTGCCTCTACTGTCAAAACGCCGGGACTGACCCACTTGACGAATTGCTCTTTGCAATTTTCAGTACGTGTGAGATTCGTAATGAGGGCGCCGAATTACCCTTGAGGCAACATTCAAAGCCAGATCTGCAATTGTCGAGCCACAACTTCGCAAAATTGGGCATTGAGGGCCCGTAATTGATCAATCCAATAAGCGAAGCCTGGCCTTGAAATGAAATCAGGTTTCTAGTCGTACTTGTGGGAAGGAAAAAGTGTCCGGTTTCATTGTCCGCATCATTCTAGGATACATAAGGCATTATTTTCAAATATAGTCTCCACCCCCTCGCCCATGGTCCATGATTGGTTGACTCTGGAATTACAAGCTGAGGAATAGCCCTAACAACTGCCTTTTTTACGTCACAACCTCACTTCAGGTTTGGCTGGAGCCCCGCCTCTGAGGATAGCTCGACAGCTGAACGAATCCAAATACTGCACCTGTA